GCGCGAGCAGGATAACGGGCCAGCGGCGTGCGGGGGAGGGAGTGGGCTTAACAGCAGCGCAGGTAACAGGACAGCGCTACTGCTAAGCCCACTAGCTGTAGCGCCGGCGCACATCACACGCTACAGCTAAGTGGCCTGCCCTTTTGGCCCCGGCGGCCCGCTAAGCAGCAGCGCGACCAATTTTGGCCGGCGCTATTGGTACATATCAGTAGCATGGGCGCCAAAACAGGCGCTACTGCTAAAATTCTATGTATAAGCATTTTCCTAGTAGTGCATTGGTGCGCTCCTTCGGACGAACGATGCCGCCGCGACTGCGCGTGTGTGGACGCCGCGGAGCAACGACCACCGGAGCAGGAGGGGCGTCCGGAGCAGGCGAGGCGTCCAGAATAGGCGAGGCGTCCGGAGCAGGTGAGGCCAGTCCAGCGAACTCCGGCGAAGAGGGACCGGGTGACAGCAGGTCGGGAGTCGGGGGAATCGGCGATGTGGGCCCAGGTGGCGTGTGAGTCACTGCAGGCCCAAGTGGGCGGTAGCAACACCCGCGCAGATGGCAGGGCTGACGATGGAGGGGAGGCCAGGCGAGGAAGCGGTGACGTAGGCCGCTCCATCACGGGCTCCGACCCAGCCATAGTAGCCAACGCAGGCTCCAGCCCAGTGGTAGACGGGGCTCCCGAGGCGGGGTCGAGGGCGGGAGGCGGTGCATGCACATGCACCGGCCGATCGACGTGCACCACGGGTGGCGTAGTAGGTCCGTCAGGGAGAAGTTCCAGGCGAGCTCCACGTCCAGTTCCTGCACCATGATTAGGTAACAACACATGCGAATATGCAACATCTTCAAATTGGGCAGGCATAAGAGGAGATGAATGCATAGATGGTGCTGTGGTGGATGACTGAGGCATGGCAGAAAAAGGGAAGACATTCTCATCGAAAATAACATCCCGAGATATGTAGACTCGATTAGTTGGGACATGGAGACACTTGTAGCCTTTATGGAGAGAACTATACCCCAAGAACACACACTTTTTGGAGCGAAACTCAAGTTTGCGATCATTATAAGGACGAAGATGAGGCCAGCAAGCACACCCGAATACCTTAAAAAAGGTGTAGTCAGGAGTTTCATCCAAGAGAAGCTCAATAGGATTTTTCATATTAAGAACACGCGTAGGTAATCTGTTAATGAGAAAACACGCGGTGGCAAAAGCATCACTCCAAAAGCAAAAAGGTATAGAAGCATGAGCAAGAAGTGTGAGGCTGGTTTCAACTATATGGCGATGTTTGCGCTCAACAGTGCCATTCTGCTGATGTGTATGTGGGCATGACAAACGATGGGAGATCCCAAGCTTATTAAAGAAAGTGTGGAGGTTGCGATATTCGCACCACCCCCCCCAATCTCACTAAACACGGATAATTTTATGCTTGAGTAGACATTCAACATGCAATAGAAACTGAATGAATATATTAAACACATCAGATTTGCGCTTAAGAAGATAAAGCCATGTGAAACGACTATAGGCATCAACAAAACTGACATAGTAGTTGTGACCACTAACAGATGTTTGTGCTGGACCCCACACATCAGAAAACACAATTTCAAGAGGACTCTTTACTTCTCTAGTAGATGAAACAAAAGGTAGCTGATGACTTTTGCCTTGTTGACA